GTGAACACAGCGCTTTCGAATTATTTGACGACAAATTTATAAATTTATTTTCAAAAAAGCATCATTTAATGAGAAGACAGAAAAGGCTTGGGGAATATTGTGATAAATAATGATTGATGAACCATTTTTTTTTCCTAGGGTCTGCAAACTATTCTTTATTATTAGTTAAAGATATATAGGTACTTTAAAAGCTTCTAGATTTTCCTATCTATACCAGATATCTAACCCTACATGTAAACAAACGTGTTATAACCAAAGACGATCTTCCAAGAAAGTTGAATATAAGATTTATCGACATAGTAATCAAGGACCTTGAGTTTATAAAAGACGATATATGGCTTATGTTATCTTTATTAGTAGAACTTTACAACTTTTCTTTATAAGAATTAAACTAAAATATAAAATGCACTATTTTTTTAAATAATTTTTACGTTTAAAAATAGAAGATGGAATATAAACAAATTATTTTATATTTCAAGCTTAAACATTTCATCAAATATAATGACAAGAAAAAATTCGTTCAAATAATTCAGAAGAAAAAAAATAAGGAGAACCAATACATCGGTCGACAAATTTGGTGAGTAGAGATTTACATGTTAGATTTTCAAAACTTCTTAGAAAAAAACAAATAGCTAACAATAGCGTTAAATCAAAGGAATATTTATTGAGAAGTAAAGAATATTTATTGATTATGCATGGGATATTTATTGTAAATTATTATTTTTGAAAATTTTTGTAATGAAAAAAAATATGATTTTCTTCTCCTTGCTCTTATTTTTCTCTCAGATATATTCTATAGTTGACCCTCCTNTACAAAAGAAATTTCACGAAAACAGTTTTTTTACTAAGCACCTAAATTATATAATAAATTACCATTTCAGTTGCGAAATATCCAAATATATTCTTCTTTTAAGCGTGCTTTATTTCAATTTGTGATGAACATCGACGATTTAGATCTCTATTTTTCACTTTAAAGGAAGGATTTGATTTTTTATACCAGTCTTGTGCCAATCCAAATGAATTTCTTATGTTACCTTTGCTATTTTTTTTATATAGTTTCATGTATTTTTTTTTAAATTTTAGATTTATTGTATTATCTTTCTCTGTCGCCTGGACAGGATTTTCCTCTTGGCGACGAATATATATATATATATATAGATATAGATATATTCCTTGTATTTGTGTGTTTGTTTTTGTTCCCAATAAAGTTTTGCTTGCTTGTTAAAATATTTTTTATAGTTATGGACCTGGAAAGACCCTTAATGTTAATTTGTTAATTTTACCTTTTGGTCCGTAATTTAATTAATTCGCTATAATTAATAAATTTGACTTAATGAAATTGAAGCATTTAAGTAAATCTAAAAATGTTCGCTCTTAATTAAAATAAATGTGTAATTCTGTGTAAAAAATATTTTTTGCAGTTATTTATTTATTTTTGTTATTTACATTAATAATAATCAATAAACTGAGTTGCAAACAGTAAAAATTTTTTTCACAAGTTTAAATTATTTTATTCCAAATGAGGAAATCTATTTTTTTGAACAGAATCGAAAAATTAAATTTAATAAATATTACTTTATTGAAGTTTTATTGTTAAGAAAATTCTAGTTCAATTTCAATCAAGTTTTAAATTTGGTTACTGATATAGTTGAAAATAGTAAAAAAGTTTGTGTACTTCATGATTCAAAAGTGTTTTATCGTTTTTTAATAAATAACAAAAAATAGTAAATGATTGTAAGAAATATTTTTCATGGAATTAACTTTCGATAAACGAGTTTTATATTTGTGCGTTCATTCTTTTACATCCCCTGAAATTAATTCTGGAGACATATTCATATTATGGGGCTTAAACTTTTCACCACATGGCACAAAATTATGGTATAAAGTATTGACACTTAGGGTGTATCATCCGTGAAATTCATTTTACCGTAAAATCAATTTTTACTGTAAAATATTATACCATAACTTTTTCAATAATATTAATTTAATGTGTAATTCAGAGATTTTATGGTATTTATTACTGTAAAAATTACGGTACATCAGATTTTTTGTTTTGTAACAAAATGGTAAAAATGAATTTTACTGCAAAAAAATACCGGCATCCTCAGTGCGGTACATTTCACCGTAATTTGTTTCGGAATTTTTTGTTTGTTTTTGCTTACAGTGCAATCTCTTGCCTTAACAATTGGTACCACATTTTCTAGTTTACGTTTGCCCCTTCCCCATATTTTAAGGAATAAAATACACCAAAGGAATAACTAATACGGAATACGCCAAAAAAGATTTTTTTCCCGGATAAAGTACGTTTATGTGCCTTGTTCTGTAGCTTAAAGCATTGTATGCATCAAGTAATTAGCATATTTAAGATCTCATTCTTAAACCATTAAAATTACTTCTTATCAATACTTAAAAATTTGATTTTTAGATAAAAAGTTATTCTTGTGTCCCATATTTATTTGTGCTACGTATTTTTCTACAATATACAAATGTTTTCACAAATAATAAAAGCATTCATTATTTAAAGTTTTTTTTTTTTTTTTGCTTTTATACATAACTTGATTAACAGAGCAGGAAAATAAATGAAAAGGGTCGAAAGCATATATCCAAATGTAATTTGTGACTAAATTATTGAAAAAAAATGATAACTGCACTGTAAAATCTTTCGTTTAAATTACGGTTTAAAGTTATGGCACTTTGAGGGCATCATCAGTAAATTCCATTTTACAGTAAAATATTATATCGTAATTTGTACAGTAATACTTATTTGTGATTTTGCGGTAATTAGTACTGCAAAAACTACGGTAAATGAATTTTTTTCTGTTACGTAAAATGTTCTAGTAAAAATGGATTTTACGGTAAAAAGTATCGACACCCTGAGTGCTGGAACTTTTTACATCTAAAAACTGATTGCGATGTGCTGAAAACAAAGCACAAAAGATTAAAAATAAATTTATTCCAAACAAAATAGATAAAGAAAATTTATCACTTTGAAATCTGTTAAAGAAAATTGATCTACTAAGTTCGATATTTTTTTATATGTCTAAGTATTTTGAGAAGAACATTCAGAATACCACTAAATTCGAATGAAATTGTAAAAGGAAAGTGAAAGGAAATTAAGTGGTTGGAATGAAACTCCTCCGACACGACACATTAAAAAGAACGTTTTTAAAAAAATTTAATCGAAATTCCCTTCTAATTCAGTTTGCATTCTCGGAGGAGCATTTTTTTTTATTAATTTCAACTCCATTTTTTTCTTATACATATCAAATTTAAATTTTTTACTTACTCGTTGGTCATTCTTGCATGCGTTAATTATGTATTAGAAAGACACGAAACAGAAAGTAGAATAAAATACTTTTATTTACATTATTTTATTTACATGTATGTTACAAGTGTAAATATATTAATTAAAATTAAAAGAAATTTTTTTTGAAAAATGACATATTTCTGACATGACATGAAACTATGTACATACAACAGATAACTCTTATGTTTTCCTTATTCAAATTCCAATGCAAAGTTGGTGAACACAGCGCTTTCGAATTATTTGACGACAAATTTATAAATTTATTTTCAAAAAAGCATCATTTAATGAGAAGACAGAAAAGGCTTGGGGAATATTGTGATAAATAATGATTGATGAACCATTTTTTTTTCCTAGGGTCTGCAAACTATTCTTTATTATTAGTTAAAGATATATAGGTACTTTAAAAGCTTCTAGATTTTCCTATCTATACCAGATATCTAACCCTACATGTAAACAAACGTGTTATAACCAAAGACGATCTTCCAAGAAAGTTGAATATAAGATTTATCGACATAGTAATCAAGGACCTTGAGTTTATAAAAGACGATATATGGCTTATGTTATCTTTATTAGTAGAACTTTACAACTTTTCTTTATAAGAATTAAACTAAAATATAAAATGCACTATTTTTTTAAATAATTTTTACGTTTAAAAATAGAAGATGGAATATAAACAAATTATTTTATATTTCAAGCTTAAACATTTCATCAAATATAATGACAAGAAAAAATTCGTTCAAATAATTCAGAAGAAAAAAAATAAGGAGAACCAATACATCGGTCGACAAATTTGGTGAGTAGAGATTTACATGTTAGATTTTCAAAACTTCTTAGAAAAAAACAAATAGCTAACAATAGCGTTAAATCAAAGGAATATTTATTGAGAAGTAAAGAATATTTATTGATTATGCATGGGATATTTATTGTAAATTATTATTTTTGAAAATTTTTGTAATGAAAAAAAATATGATTTTCTTCTCCTTGCTCTTATTTTTCTCTCAGATATATTCTATAGTTGACCCTCCTATTGAATTTATTTAAGTCTTTTGAAACAGCAATGTCAAATCTTTACATCTTTATACAGCATTTTTTAAAAACTAATAATAGACAATTAATGCATTTTTATATTCGGAATAAGTTTGTGAAGTTGACTTGTGGACTTTGAACCACCGTGGAAAGAGCTTGCTTTTTTTTTTGTCAGCAATTCAAAGCTGTGGAAGTTTGAAAGTCTATCATTATTTCAGAAGCTTTTAAAACCTATCCATTGTTTTCTCAATTGTTTATACATTTAAATCTATTTAAATATCGTTTCGAAAAACTAGTTAATAATTGTACATCGAATTTTTAACAAAAATATTGCTTTCAAAAATTCTTAAAGTAAAACTTAGATGATCACAAAAGCTTAGAATACTACACTCTCTAAAAAAAAATTTTTACAACTAGTTAAAAAATATTCAAAGGAACAAAGGCATTGTAATGATAATTATTAAAGATAAAATCCATCGTTAATATAGCTCAATAGTTAATTATTTATTGTAAGGATTTTTTTATATATGAAATACTGTTAAAATTCAGCATTAGTACTACAATGCAACATTAAAGTAATGTTTATTTTATACTATTTATAGAAAAATGTTTACTTCATATGCAAGTGTAAATGTTAATGTTTACTTTATATAAATTCGTGACNTAGTTAAAAAATATTCAAAAGAACAAAGGCATTGTAATGATAATTATTAAAGATAAAATCCATTGTTAATATAGCGCAATAGTTAACTATTTATTGTAATGATTTTTTTACATATGAAATACTGTTAAAATTTAGCATTAGTACTACAATGCAACATTAAAGTAATGTTTATTTTATACTATTTATAGAAAAATGTTTACTTCATATGCAAGTGTAAATGTTAATGTTTACTTTATATAAATTCGTGACTAAGTGTAAACAATAACAAGCTTCCTCAAACCGAAAGAAAGAAATATAGAAAACTTCCGGCGTATACCTCCGTTTTAATTATATTTACGAGGCGGTTATGTGTACAAGTTTGGTATTCTAGGAAGCATTGTAATTGTAATTTGTGTTCAAATTTACCTATAATTTTACCTTTTATAAGAGTTTACCGTAATTTTTGAATTCAAGAAGATCGTGGGTCATAAATAAATTTGAAAAATTTAATTTCGCGACATGAGTAAGGTTTGCCATATTTTAAGTTACATCCCCTATTCGGCTGTTATTTTTGGAAAGCATCACAGCATGTCTACCGAGACTTTCGACCATTTGTGGTTTGCTTCGCTGAAAGTTAAATTGAAAGAATGTGTTACATTGTAAACACAACTAGTGTAATATTATTAGATAGCGAGCTTTTTCAAGTTAAAGAGTAAAAATAAATCGGAAGAGTTGTAACCCGGACGTCTTACGACGATATTTAACCCCTAGCGCCATTTGTGCTTTATACGGTTAATTAACTATCCATATAGTATGTATAGCATGTACGGAATTTACATCTATAATCTTGTTATTTTAATAATATGTTATAAAACATGAGTTAATTGCTGTTTCTCAGGTTGGAAATTTTAACGTTCAATTTTACGTTTCATAATTCAAAACATTTACCATTTTAGAAAATATTGCGATTTTGGAAGTTTCGTTCCTAACCGGTAAGGAAATTTCGTTGCTGTCAAACAATCAAACTGATCAGACAATTATTATTTTTATCAGCAAGGTTGAAAAAGGTGAGAGATAGATATAAAAAGATTTGACTATGACTGGGAGCAATAATCATTCTTTTTCTTTTTATCATTCACTGTCAAAAGAATGATTGTTCGCGTACACATTTTTATGCTTTACTGCATCACAATATTCTTTCCATTCTTATCACAAATAGTATGCGTGCTATTTACATAATATCAACATTTATCATTTACATATTCATGTCTAAATTGATCATCAATAACTTAAAATATAAATATCAACAACCTTCAAGTGTTGTTAGAACTTTGATTCTGGTACATGGCGTGAATACAAGGTTGAGAACCAGTGTTTAGAAGCTCTACTTGAGAATCACAGTCACAGTGAACATGCACAGATGACAAATGTTCGGTGGCATGTTTTAAGCAGCACTGTTCTTGTTGCTGTTCTAATGCCCCATATTGTTCCAAATAAAACCTGTTGCTGCGCTTGAGGACGACAGTCGCTATAATGCCTATAATGATTAAGCTTATGATACCCAAAACGAGAACAGATATGTAAATTGGACTGATTATGTGAGGTAGAGAAGATGATCTGGTTTTGGGTTTCAGTGGGATGTGGAGGATGGGTGGAATTTCGCTGGAATATGAATGCTGATTGGATGACGGAGATTCGACGTCATTCTTAATAGGCAGACCATTTCCAATTTGAGAAACTTCATTTGTATCTGTAATGATAAAATATACATTAATTTAAATCCACTTTAATACACTATTATTTAAAACACTCACGTTTAAATACGTTTTTAATTAACTCAAAATTAGAAATGTAAGCGTTTACACAAAAGGTCTGTCTATTATTTGTTTTCAATTACAAGCTATAGTATATTTTTCTTAAACTGTTTGTTGTTCCTTTTCAAATTTCGAATTGTTCATTGTTCAGTGATAATTGTTGTTTGTTCTTACTGTTACTTTGTGTTGCCGTGGTTTGCCCTCATTAAATTGATTAATTTTCAACGGAAGCCATATGTAACACACAAATTTTTCTTATATTTTGATTTATCATATTTTATATTTTAAAACGTGATGACTACTGAAGTAAAAATTGAAAAAGAAAATGAGAATAATAAGCTAAATAAAAGTCCTTTGACAATTAGTGTTAGCCTCACTCAAAGCAAAGGCCGAACAGAAGTATCAGATCACTGTAATTTTTTATATCTTATAAATTTTATATTTTTATGCTTAATATCTGAGCCAAACGTTTATTTATAAGTCGAAAAAAGCTTTTGAAATTTTTATCACGAGCCCGAGCCTTAAACCTTTTTTTTTTTTAATAAGCGAGCTCGAGCTGACCCGGTCTCAGCTCTAATTCTGTCTACGGCTCACTTGTGGGCTGAAACTCATGGATTTTGAACTCCTGAGAGTGCGATGATTATTACAATGAAACAAATGCCTATAAAATTGTAGACAATACTTTTAAGTTTAGTGAAAGGTATACTTAATAAAAAGGTATATAATATTAACTGGCGTGTGTATTTTTATTTATTTATGTATTTTTTTTTTTTACTTTTTAAGTGAGCTTATAAATTTATTTCATTTATAGTTAAGTTTCTCAGCTATCACATAAATAGTTGAATGCAGGGAGACGTAAAATATCCTCAGTGACTGACAGATAGTGCGTTAGAGACCCATTGCCGTCAGGCTAACCGTGGGAGGTTTTCGTGGTATTCTTCTCCATGTAACGTAAATGCGGGTTAGTTCCATCAAAATGTCTTTCATGAAAACGAATTTCTCCCGATGCTTGATCCAGCAGTTTCCTTGTCCTCTAGATTGTATTCAAAATAACAAGGCTATGGAGTTGAATATTAGTAGTTGTAAATTCAAAATTAGATCAACTGTTCAACGACGATTATGAAATATAAAATTATAAAATATAAAATTATAAAATATGAAATTATAAAATATAAAATTATAAAATATGAAATTATAAAATATAAAATTATAAAATACAAAATTATAAAATATAAAATTACAAAATATAAAATTATAAAATATAAAATTATAAAATTATAAAACATAAAATTGTAAAATATAAAACTATAAAATATGCTTTGTCAATGATATTTACCTAATACTTGTTCTTCAGATATTGCTGCAGTTGAATTTTCTCGATTTTGATTTTCAAACCATGGAGGTGGTGTTGGTACAACATCCCTGTTGCACAAATTGCTGTTGCAGCAGAGAAGGAGAGGCCAAGTTCCCCTAGCAACTGCTGGCCTTCTGTTTTCACACAAGAGTGGAGTTTTACTTTGTATACAGCCCCTCACTACGGGATAACTGCCGTCGTGCCTGTCAAGATACTGGCTAAAACAGACACCAGTGGTGTTGCAGTGTTCCATGTGATGTTCCATACAATGTGTTGTGGTGCACTCGCATGTTATGCTCCCTCCTATGGGTAAAAAAAAAAGAAGTATATATGCATTGTTTTTAGCAAGCGGACTCATAAGTTGTATTGAAATAATAAAATTAATGCATAGGCGTTTTCAGAATGAGTGCTATTTTTCGTTATTTAATTCGACAGCGTAGTTTATTCCCTAACTCCCTAACGACCACCCTTAATATATATTTTTAGTAAAAAAATTAAATAAAAAGCTGAGGAAAAGAACTTTGTAAGATAAAGTAAAATAAAAACGAAATAAAAAAATCTTGTAGAAATACAACCATTAATTTTAATTTCAAATTTTTTTTTGGCGTGTTTCGTCATATTTAAGCAAATTAAAAGAAACTGCTCACAATTTTGAAACTTATTTATCCAAGGAATAATTTTTTTACAAGTTTATTTTTTATGTAATTTAGTAATGGTCCAAAAAATTTTGAATTGTAACAAGGAACAAAATTTTTTATTTCATTCAGAATTGCCATAATATAACATTTGAAAGGAATCGCTCGAATTAGTTTCATAGAGATAACATTTCTAATAAGTTAAAATTTCCAAGCCTTAGTTTAAAAATTTTAACATTACTATCTATATTTCTTAACGATTCATTTAAATTTTGTCATTTAATATTTCAGATTTTAAAATGACTTAATTATATAATTCCCAAGCTTTTGATGGTTCATTAAACCTTATAGTAAAAGAATACATAATTTATTTTTCTTATATGAATCTAACCATAGATAAACGGATTTTATAATTGTGAGTAAAGAAGCTTTCAATTCGCTCGAATACTTTAAGGAATACAGGACGATTCTAGAAGGGACACTAGAAATTAAAATTTTTAATCGGTTACTATATGAATAAGAATAAAATTATTACTACGTATTGACGTTTGGTATTAAGACAAATCAGGAGTAGATACGTGTTAACGAAATGTTTTAAATTAGTTTATTAATTAATTTATTAATTAACTTATTAATTTATTAATTTATTTATTAATTTATTAATTAACTCACTAATTAATTAATTAATTAATTTCTTATTAATTAATCTCATCTAACAAGTGCACGACGATACCTTGAAATCGCTCTGCAGCTTAATACGTAAAAAATGAAGTTAACATAAGGCAGATCAAACTTTCGACTGCTATCCTGAAAACAATCTGTAGAATGTTTTTAAGATATCGGCTATCCCTTGTATTTTGAGGGTCAAGAATCAAAATCTGACGAAAAATGTTTATTCAGAGAAAGTATGTTTTTTGTGTTTGATTGCGTAACTTGAAATATCGTCTGCCCAAATAATTGACATACTTTTACTGTTAAAATTGCATTTTAGTGCATGGCAACAAATCATTAAAAGCTACTATTTAGTTAAAAAAATAATTCTGAATAAGTTTTTATTCCATTTCCTTATTTACTGTTCGTCGTGTTATGGATAAAAAATGATTGCCAAAGGAACACTTTTTTTATGAATTTCCTTCCAAATAAGAAAAAAAAAATTCTTCCTCATTCAATAGCAAAAGATAAAAAATTATTTTCAGAAATTTTAGCCTTTTGTTACTCTTTGAAAAATAATTATAAAAAAAGTAAGAAAAAAGTGTTCGGCAAATGAAACCAGACACCCATTTTTAACTTTCCAAACATATAATAAAATAAACCACTTTCAAAAACAAATAATATTCGATCCAAAACTTTCTTTTTTCAGTTTTATGAATATGAATAGTAAAAATTTCATTAAAAAAAAAAGAAGAAGAAGAAAAGAATGAACTGCGCGCTTAATTGAGCAGACGATAGTGAAAGAACACTAACCTTCGATCGATGTACTTATACGAAAGTTTTTACTAACCACTTTCTACATTGAATTCTTTGCTAATGAACTTAATAAACGGTGGAACTACTTCATTTTCGTTTTCAGTAGCTACTGTTTTTTTCATACCTTGCAAGTTTATGTTTTTTTTCTTCTTTTTATTATTTTTTTCACAAATTTGACGCATAAGAAAAAGCCAGAGGGCTAGCTCATTAGTAAAAAGACTAAATGCATGCCTTTTGTTCACTTCAGTTTGTTATAATGTTTGTGGTCGATAATCTCAAGAAAGTCGTGAAAAAAAATTAGCGTTCTTTAATATTCTTGTACAAGGTTTATAAAAGGCTGAAGTAAAATGAAAAAAAAAAAGAAACTTGAGTGTTTACTTTTATTCTGATAAGTTTTAATCGAATTAAAAGATAAGTGTTAAGAAGATTATAAATAAGTCAACTTAAAAAAAACAACAACAGGAAAGCTTGAAGAAAGGAAGATAATTAATTAGAGCAGGCAACAAAAATCCTTGGGTCGTGAAAATAGTTTGTGTCTAGCTCAATAATTATGTGGGAAACATTAAAAATTACTCTATATTCCGTAATTTAGAGTTGTAAAATAGTCAAGGGGCAAATTTTCGCAACTTTTGTAAAGTTCATCTAAAATCTAATATAATCTAATAAAATCTAATATAATAATAATCTAATAAAATCTAATATAATAATAATCGAATAAAATCTAATATAATAATAATCTAATAAAATCTAATATAATTATAATCTAATAAAATCTAATATAATAATAATCTAATAAAATCTAATATAATATAATCTAATATTTCGTAAAGTTTTAACTAAATTTTTCGAAATGCTATGAATTACACAAAATGTTTGTCTGGCTTTTAATCTCTCATTTGCCTTTAACAGCAATTAGTATGTTTTTGAAGTATTAAAAAAAATGATAAAATTGATGATAAATGATGAAATTGATAAAAGTTTTAGGAGAATAAACCAAAAAAATATATTAAAAATAAAAATTAAAATAAAAAAGAAAAAGAAAAAGGAAAATAAATGGAAAAAATAGTTTAGAGATAATCCTTATCCTGTCCTTCAGTTTAATTAACGTTTAGTTTTAATTAACGTTAAAATAATAAGTTTAATATTTTAATGGTGGCAAATAAATATTTGATGCTCAACGAAGCATAAAGTAGAATAATTCAACACTGTATAAAATTTTGTATTAAAACTCTGTTCATTTGAAATAAAAATTAATATTACGAAAAATAGAATGAAGCAATATATTTGGCCTTTTTATATTCTTTTTTTAAATTATTATTTATGCTATGTCAAGTACTTCAATGCATATTTTTTCCCTTGTGTTCCCACGAAATTTTCAAAATTTCCCGACATTTTTTCCCATCATACTTTTCTAATCTTATAACCATAACATAATTATTTACAGAGACTTTAAATGAATTACAAAAAATAATAATTGTCATCGCATTCGACATAAATTTTTTCTTTATGATAATTATCAATTTTACGACACACAATGATTTGTTGATTAGACTATGCGTTAAGAGAAATAATAACATATATGTTTAAAATGTAGAAAACATAATAAGAAAATAATATTAGAATTCGTAATCTTTTTATTTTTAGTTTATAGACATTTCAAGTTAATTGCATTTAATTTCAGTAAACATTATATCATGCTTGTAGAAAGGTAAGTGTTGGCACCTTGGCGAATTTGAGTAACGCCATTCGCGAAAACACTTTCGCCATTCACATTGTTCGTTATTGGATTCTATCGTGAATAGCAACCATTTATTATATTTTTGGTATACATTTATTTCTTAAGTAATGTTTCGTTTCTTTGGAATATATAATTGTTGACCTATGTATTCGAAATATAATTTGTTACTTTTTAATGCTAATTGTTTGTTATTTGCTTATTACAATTAATTGTTATTTGTTTATTAAATTCGTTGTTCGTCATGATTAGCATTTTAAACATACTAATTCGCATCCGTCGCACAATGAGACCTTACAGCAAGAATAAAAGTCTCTGCATGGATGTTGCAACGAATATTTACTCAATCAGTACTCAATGTTGCTATTAGATTTGTATTAAACCAGAGCTTTAATTAGAGAATTATAGTGAATCAGATTAATTGAGCTATTAGTTGATTCACAATAATGATCAATTTTCTCATTAGTCTTCTGTGTTTCTATCAAGCATTCAAAATACAGCTGTATAACCTAACATTGAAATTTGTTTAGAAACAGAACAAACATTTATACAAAGCTAAACAGAAATGAAGAGTATAATCAATTAGGTTTATTTAAGCCTTTGGGGTAACTTTGACCATTCTCTAAAAATAGTTCCGACAGTAAAAAGTCATTTACTCGTTGGCCTCTTTAGAGCAAGCAAGAGACTTTCTCGTATGCAATAAAGTCAAATAAGTCTTGCTATCTCCACTTATGTCTATATATTTTTATGATTATAATAAGAAATAGTTCTTTGCGATATTGTGACATTATTGAAACTAATCATGTCAATTATTACAATTTAATCCTAAGAAAATGTAACGGAATCTTTTGGGCAATCTTATTTTCCCTAGAATGAACTTTAATGAGTAATTTAGGAAGATATTTTTTTCCCTAAAATTTGTATGTATTATTTTGATTGCCACTTTAAGATCAGTAATTAATCTTGATTAACTACAACAAAATTCCCGGCTTAGTCTGTTTGCTATATTAACCCTACTTAGAGGGTTACATTTTGCGATCGGATGAACAAGATCAAAGTTAATCAAATAAGTGCTAAATTTGCATCCCGCGCAAATTATTATGTGAGACAACTTTTCGCAGTAAGTCATTAGCAGTCTTTTTTAAATAAATATTGCTGCAAAAATTATATGTCACTTTTAGTGATCGTAATTACTCTCAAACTAAGTTAGATAATATAAAGAAGGCTTGCTTGCTTTAATGATCTTAATTGCTGTTGCGTAACCTCGAACTGAGAATTATATATCTCGTTTGCCATTCTATCGTTAATCATTGTCAAAATGTACTCCCCGAGTCACTGACTTGCAACTTTCATGCTGCCATCTTACGGTCAAATTTGTAACTAAGACACAACAATTAAACTCATATAAAAAAACTAAACAATGATTAAAATAGTAACAAACGTTTCAAAATTTGTTTAAAAATGCT